CGAGTTACAGAATAATAGGCGTAGCTCGAGTTGTCAATTTATCGGCGTAAAAGGTATCGTTTTCTCTGTCAAAGTTCGCCTTCATTGAGTAACCGCGGTAATACATACGCTTACCCTAACTGCCCTCGCACAAAGAAACTAACACGATTTGATTCCGAGCTGACGGCAATTGACGAGCAACCGTATCATCGATTCTGGCAAATATTTCCAGATAAGGATGAAAGAAGGAAAGCGGGAAAGAGAAGCGTGTCGATGGCGCGAGGAAGAATCCATGCGCGCCTGTCTTCTTGAGAATAGAAACGTTCTATTGTCTAGAATCTAGAGGTTCTCGCCGGTTAAGCAATTATGGTGCCTTATTAATTAATATAGCACTAAAACGCGGTTCGAACAGTTCCCCCTCGGTTGGAAATTTATTCAAATGTTTTCATCTATGCCGTGACGTTGAACGACGCTGCTTCCGGTAACTGCGAGTCACTTGGAATTACTAATAGCGATTCTCGTTAAGGGAATAGTGTAACACGGGACGGTGGGGTTTTGTTGCAGGAGTTGAAAAACCTCTATTACTACATATATTACCTGACGAACATCGAATACGGTGAATTCTCCCCAATTGTTCTTCGGCTTGTAAACAAAAACGGACAATTTGGGAAGAGGGGATTACGATTATTCGAACCACGCGGCTCCACTTTTATAGTTGCCGATTGTCGACAGTTATAAAAAACACAGGGTGTACCAAAATTAATATAATAGTAATATAATAATAATAATTAATATAAAATTAATATTATAATATATTTATAATATAAAGTTTATAATATAAAATTAATATTAATATAATATTAATATAAAATTAATATAAAATAATATAAAGATTAGAATTAAAGATTAATTTGTAAAATTTGAATTACAAATTTGACTAACTTAGGGGGGAATAAATTAAAATTGAATAAAATTAAAATAGAAGAAGGGTTCGTGTTTAATCTGGGAAATGAAGAAGGGTTCCGGCATTTTTTCTCCGTCGATGGAACGAAAAAATTGGGGAAGAAATGGCAAAAAAAAAGAATGACACAACTTGACATAACCAGGATATTCGCGAAGCAATCGCGGAGCCAGGAGTGCCGTGGAACGTTTCTGAAACTGGTACCTGCCACTGACATAACCGCTCCGCGCAGGAAATCTCGTCTAATGTCAGCCTGTTCGAGATCCGCGTAAAAAAAGAAACGCGAATTTGCATGAAGTCCAGCGGTTCGCCGGACATTTATACGGGTTCGCGGCGTCGGCCGGCCGAGCGTGCGCGCTGATTTGCTTTGCTCTTTTCTCCTTTCTTTTTATATAAATCGGTGCGGGGGAAACTCGCGAATTTACATAAACATCCGCGGCGTAGTTATAACCGTTGCAGGAGGCAGCGTAAACACCCTTTTACGAGCTCGGTTCCGTCCGAACGCCGCGTTCGCGAACCATTGAATTGCGCCACGAAGGCTGCCGGCTTTGAAAACTTTTAACCCTTTGCACTCCGCTGTCCCCTCTCGTGGGACATCGTAATTCTAGCATATCACTCGGATGTCTCCTCTCGTGGGACATTAAAGTTTATTAGCGATTACGGGGAATTGAGTTATTTCAGCGCAACTTTTTCAGACATGCATGTTTCCCTGAAGTTTTCTCTTGAAATGGCGCAAGAAATCGAATCAAAATATGGTAAAATTACTAAGATATATACAAGAAATGTCAGCGGGTTTTGACGAGAACGCGAGAGGCGTGCTCACGACGGTTCGAGCACTTCAAAGGCGCCATTTGAAAAGAGCGATGAGGCAAGTTCGTAGAAGAAAGATCGGTATGCGAACATAGCACACACTCTACAGTGAGATTTATAATCATAAAATCTGGAGGAAAAGATTTTCAAAGCTGAACTCGGTCTGGTTTGAAGCGTCGAGCGGTATAGATAGATCTAACGAGTGAGAAAATCGGAAAAGTGATGCTTCTCTTGGTAAATAAATTGTTTGGTAAAAGTTGTTTTGGTAAATATCATCTTGTGAGTTAGTAATAACAATTAGAAATTTTCAACCCATTTATTTATTCATATTTTTTA